AGACCAAGTAATATTGTCCCTCACTGTGCTACAGAGGGTGCATTCATAGAGGCTAGGGAGTATCCTTCAGCAAAGCCCAGACTAATTACACCTAAAATTCTCAATCTCCATCTTCTGTCCTTGTCTTTAGTTCTTGTGACCATTCCCATCAGTGGAGATGGCTGGTGTCTCAGAGATGTATCCTGGCCTTCTCCACAAACTCTAACTACGCTTGCAGAGGCCACTTCAAGTCTTTACAGGTTAATTGATTTAATGGGATTCTAGCAGTGTGTGTGTGTGTGTGTGTGTGTGTGTGTGTGTGTGTGTGTGTGTGTGGTTGTGGGGACCAAATCCAGGGCTGTTCCATTGACCTGCACTCTCGGTCTTCAGTGTGAGAATCTTGATTATTATCTTTGGCTTTGCCTTTTTCAGGGCCGAGGAGATTCCACCAACCACCCAGGAGGGGGACTGACTTGAGAAAGCCTCCCCAGCTGCAGCGTCCCTCGGCTTTTCGCTTCAGCTTCTCACCAAGGGAGCTATTCAAATGCCTTCGTCGTCATCGTCAACTGAGTCCTGAGGCCCAAGCTGTGGTGGGACCCCCAGCTGACTTCTTTATTTAACAAATTCTCTTTTTCTCCTGCTTGGCCCCCTCTCCCTCCTCTGTCTGGCAGCTGTCTGTCTTTGCTTTGTAGTTTACCACCGGGTTTTCTGAAGACTCAGGGTTTATTCAAAACAGAATTAACCTTTTCCTTTACCCTAAGAAGCCAGCACTTGGGAGTCACTGACCAAGGCAGCCTGTGCTTCTGACTTTGGAGTCTATACCGTCCAGTTCTGAAGACTCAGGCAAACTCAATCCAGCATGCTTGCTCCCTCAGGTTCAAAAGGAAATGCCAGCTGAAGGTAGAAAATCTAGGTAGATTGAAGTTTCACACTGATATAAACTGAAGGTAACACTCTCTTCGCTTTGGGACGAGAGAGATGAGAGACAGCAGGAGTTTCTAAGGGGAGGAGGTGGGGAAAGGCAGGCTGGCGGGGACGAGTTTTCTTTTCAGTTTCTCTCCTATCATGTTAGCTAATTTTGGGGTGACCTTTTCAAGCTTTTAAGGTGACTTATTATATACGGTGAATTAAGACCCAAATTAGATTGTCTCAGGGCTGAAGAGACACCTCAGCAGTTAAAAGTACTTCCTACTCTTCCAGAGGACTGACTGGGTTCTGTTCCCAGCACCAGGGTAGGCTGCTTCATAGTGAACTCCAGCTCCAAGGGGTGCCCTGCCTCTGGCTTGCCTAGGCACCTGTACACATGCACAAGCACACACACACACACACACACACACACACACACACACACACACACACACCCCACAATTAATTGCTAAGTAAAATGATTCTGGAAGAGCAGCTAGTGCTCTTAACCACTGAGCCATCTCTCCAGCCCACCTACTTGCTCTTTACAGTGAGTTTCAGACTAACCAGGGCTGCATGTTGAGACCTGCCTCAAAAGGAACAGCAAAACCCAAAGACTGGGCCTGCAGTATGTCTCTGGGCAGAGGTGCTCACCACAAGCCAAGCCTGGTGACTGGAGTCAGTCTCTCAGACTCCCACGATGGAAAGAGAGAAGAAAGAGCTCCATAAAGTTGCCCCCTGATCGCCACACAGTGGCGTGCACCCCTCCCCTACTCCCCAAAACAAATAAATGTAATCATAACCACATGACCCCCCTTTATTACTGCCCTGCTCAGATGCTGAATTTCCTCTTTTCTCCTAATTACTTGAGTGGCCTTTGACTGTCCTGGAGCTCACTGTGTAGATTAAGCTGGCCTGGAATTCACAGAGATTCACCTGCCTCTGCCTCCCTCTGTGTATGCCTTTGATCCTGGGGAGGCAGAGGCCCGCACAGGCAGATCTCTGAGTGTGAGGCCTCCTGCCTCTGCCTCTTGAGTGCTGAAATTAAAAGTGTGCATCACCACATCTGGCTAAGCTAGTCTCTTTGAAAGCCCACACTCAGACTCTCAGGGGATCTCACTATCCTCTGAGCAACTCTTTCTCTTAACCCACATGCTTACACTTATATTAAAGCATCTTGATGTCGAGCCTGGTGGTGGTGACACACACTTTTAATCCCATCACTCCAGATGCAGAGGCAGATGGAGCTCTGAGTTCGAGGCCAGCCTAGTCTACAGAGCAAGTTCCAGGACAGCCAGGTCTACTCAGAGAAACACTGTCTGAAAAAAAAACAACAACTTTATTACTGGGCATGGTTGACACATGCTTTTAACCCCAGCACTTGGGAGGCAGAGGCAGGAGAATCTCTGTGGTTTCAGGCCAGCCAGGGGTCCACAGTGAGACCTTGTCTGAAAACATAACAACAATAAAATATCATCAACTGTCAATGCACTTTTAAAAAAAAGTTATGGGGCTCATTATATTGCCTTGATTGGTCCTTTATATCTGAGCTCAGAGGAGCCTCCTTACTCAACCCTCCCAGGAGCCAAGACTACAGGTGTTAGCTGCTGTCCTTGGCTTCCGTGAACATTTTCAAATGTAAAAATAGCTTAAGTCCTTGTTGTACAGTTGGGTCTGGAACCCAGGGCCTCACACATGCTCTCTCGCCTCCTAAACTGTACCTTCAACCCTGAAACTTGGATTCTGAACCACAGACTAGACTGTCTGGCTTTGATTTGCTCAGAGTCCCAGGAAGTCACATTGAACTTCCTGGAGGATCACAGCGCCCCCTACTGATTCCCTGTTGCACTGGGCTCACCAATCTCCCAACCGTTTGCCTGTCTTTGGTTTTTTTTTTTTTTTTTTGGTTTTTCGAGACAGGGTTTCTCTGTGTAGCTTTGCGCCTTTCCTGGAACTCACTCGGTAGCCCAGGCTGGCCTCAAACTCACAGAGATCCACCTACCTCTGCCTCCCAAGTGCTGGGATTAAAGGCGTGCACCACCGCCGCCGCCGCCACCACCCGGCCTGTTTAGACAGATTAGATATACAGAGACATACATGATGAACTAAAGAGGTCTTCTCAATAGTCAAATAGAGGCCTCAAAGGAGGAAAAATGAATGAAAATCTTAACAGAAAAAAAAAAAAGGGCTGGAGAGATGGCTCAGCATTTAAGAGGACTGGCTGCTCTTCCAGAGGACCCAGGTTCAATTCCCAACACCAACTCTACAGCTCACAGTTGTCTGTGATTCCTGCACACAGACATACTTGCAGGCAAAACACCAATGTATATAAAAATAAATAAATTATTTTTTAAAAACACATTTTTAAGCCAGGTGGTGGTGGTGCACGCCTTTAATCCCAGCACTTGGGAGGCAGAGGCAGGCGGATCTCTGTGAGTTCGAGGCCTGGGCTACCAAGTGAGTTTCAGGAAAAGGCGCAAAGCTACACAGAGAAACCCTGTCTCGAAAAAACAAAAACAAAAACAAAAACAAAAAACCACATTTTTAAAATAAAAAAATTATTTTTAAGCCACGTGTGGTAGCTCATGCCTTTTAATTCCTGCACTTGGGAAGCACCACTCCAGATGCAGAGGCAGGTGGATCTCTGCAAGTTTTAGGCCAGCCTAGTCTACAAAACGAGTACCAGGACAGCACAGGCTGTCTGGAAAAAACAAAAAAAGGATGGGATACATGGGTGTAGCATGAATTGTTAGAAGGTCTTGTTAATAAAAACAAACCTGGAGCCAGGTATTGGGGTGAGTGCTAGAAGATCAGAGAAGCAGAACAAGCCACAGCCACCTCACCTTGCCAGTTCCTCAGCTGATCCTGTTTCCTCAGACTGGAAGCCTCTGAGTCCTCATCCAAATGGGTCTCAAGCTGAACTGCTTCTCGAAAGCCTGAAAGCTTAACCAGCCAAATGCTTCTAGTTTCTGGTCTTCACGCCTTATATACGTTTCTGCTTTCTGCCATCACTCCCTGGGATTAAAGGCTCATTTTCTGGGATTAAAGGTGTGAGTCACCATGCTTAGCTGTATCCTTGAACACACAGAGATCCAGGTAGATCTCTGCCTCTGGAATGCTAGGCGTGTGCTACCACTGCTTATTCTCTGTTTAATATTGTGGCTGTTCTGTTCTCTGACCCCAGATAAGTTTATTAGAGTGCACAATATTTTGGGGAACACAGTACCACCACACACGGGAGGGATTGGAGGGATGAAAGGCAAGGAGGGAAATGGTGGAATTATTTTATAATTCTCCAAATAAAAAATGACAATAAAAAGACTACTTAGCAAGACTGTATATTACTAAATAAATTAAATCAGCATATTTTTAAAAATTTATTAATAATTTTTCTATTATCAGTTTGATATGGTATAAATTTTTATCTTAATAGTGAAATGTTTCACTGAGACTTGCCCAGTAATTGAGTAAAACCAAAACTTATTATAAGCCACAGTCATCCTAGGGTCCCCCCTGCTATATAGCCTCCCTGGATCTGCGGGTTGCAGTCTGATTGTCCTTTGCTTTATATCTAGAATCCACTTATGAGTGAGTACATACCATGTTTGCCCTTCTGGGTTTGGGCTACCTCACTCAGTATGATATTTTCTAGTTCCATCCATTTTCCTGCAAATTTCATGCTGTCATTGTTTTTCTCTGCTGAGTAGTACTCCACTGTGTATATGTACCACATTTTCTTAATCCATTCTTCAGTTGACGGGCATCTAGGTTGTTTTCAGGTTCTGGCTATTACAAACAATGCTAATATGAACATAGTTGAGCATGTATCTTTGTGTTATGTGAATCAACATATTATTACTATTAAAAATA